GGCTCTCTAAAAGTCTGTGGGTGTTTCTCAGTGTCAAGGCACCTGGCCTTGCGAGGCAATGTCTTGCGAGGCCAGGCGCCTTGCTTACGAGGACACTGTCCTTCCTTGGTCAAAGAAAACGGTTAAATGGAACAGACTTGCATCACGTGACAGCCGCTTCCATGGCAGTCACATAACGTCACGTGACACGGGAGATAATGTTATCTTTAATATGCATTAGTTTCAATATAAATATATAACGAGCCTTTTACTTTTTAAACTGTCTATACGTATATTTGTGACCTTGGGTGTTCTGAAAGGCGCTTTTAAATAAAATGTATTATTATTATTATTATTACTAATAATAATATTATTATTTACTAAATAAAAAATATAAGTATGTTATTACCCGCTAGACACCGAAGCTGCAACTACTAAGTAACTAACCAACCATAGATAACTTCTTTGGATCAGAAAACAACATTTTAAATTAGTTGACTTACTTTTGAACTTGAAAATTGTCCATGAAGTAGCTGCTGGCTTCTGAACCACCATCCTTTAGAAAATACAGCGGTGTATTCTGGGTAATTTTTGACCAAGACTAGGCTACAAGACACCTCCCGTGTATCCTCGCTCAGCTAGCTAAATGGATAACAAACGGAGAACACACGCCTCGGTAGAACATGAACATTGGAACACATCTTGGCGGCTCCCGATGACGTATCTCCTAGGCAACCGGGGAGCGGCCAAGACATCAAGGCAAGGTTCCTTGGCATTGAGAAACACCCTGTGTTAACTCCTCTTTACTACTTCTCCTTCTTTCCTACATGTGTTATCATCTCCTATACTGCCCCCTGGTGGTAGACCCAACAATGGACTCACCCATCTTGCTTCCGGACAGGGAAGGCTGTTGTTGAATTAGTGTCCAGAAGTGGGGGCACATCTTGGCTAGTAGAAGCTAACTATTAGCGTTAGCAACTCCACAATGCGGCAGAACTTATCACCTTCAGGCTTATGTCATTTGTGGAGATAAAACATCAACATGGCAGAGCGAATGAAAGCAGTGGAAGAATTGTGTTGCTGTTGTCCAATCAGGAGTGAGATGGCCAAATATCACGAATACTAATCAAACAATCAATCAATCAAAGCTTTATTTATAAAGCGCCTTCTGCAACCCTGTCAGGAAGCCCAAGGCGCTGAACATGGTACAGTACAAAGTTAAATATAGTAAATTAATCAGAAAATAAAAGCAATTCAAATTACAAAATACAAATTACAAAAAAGGTGAAACATTCTAGTAGAAGACAAATGTGTAAAACAAGGGATAGAGTGAACCAATGAAAACTGTGAGATAAAATCAACATAAAAGAGGGCCAGATTCAAACATGTTCAGGAAACGCCAAGCAGAGGAGGTGGGTTTTTAGGCGACTCTTGAAGACTGGCAGAGATGGGGACAGCCTAACGTAGGGTGGCAACTGGTTCCATAGTGACGGTGCTAGTACTGAGAAAGCCCGGTCCCCGCGAGTACGACACCTAGAACGAGGGACAACGAGCAGGCCTTGGTCAGAGGAGCGCAGAGCGCGTGATGGGGAATGCCTGTTCAGGAGCGTGGCCAGATAGGGGGGAGCAACACCCTGGAAGAAATTAAAAACAAAGACGAGGAGACTGAAGTGTGAACGATAGCAAACCGGAAGCCAGTGCAGGGAGGCCAGAACCGGACTGATGTGGTCCCGTTTCCTGGTCCCAGTCAGGAACCTTGCTGCGCTGTTCTGCACAACCTGTAGGCGACACAGTGATGACTGACACGACCCTGCATAGAGAGAGCTGCAGTAATCAAGCCTAGAAATTACAAAAGCATGGAGAATACCGGAAAATATGGTATTTGATGTTTTATAGATTATGGTTTATCTTCTCCTTTGCTGAAGTTCTTTCCCCATTAAGTTCATTAATGGCACCTGCCTTCCCTCCAGACCTCACTCCTCACACCTGTCACCTGTTCCCCTGATTGCTCTCCTAAGTGTTAAAAACCCCGTCTTGTCCCTCAGTGTTGTTGGTCCATTGTTTTTGTCAGCGTTGTTCTGCCCTCCTCTAGTAGCTCCTGGTCCTTGCTCATGTAAGGGAAAAATGAGAGGTTCTTACATTTTATTTAATGAGCCAGAAGGCGTGGGATTCCATAGGAAATATGAAATCCGCCTCACGGATCGGGGTTGGTTAAACCCTTTGAACTGCGTTAGAGCTGACGTGGCATCTGTTTTATACCTCGGATGTTACGGTTTATTGTCGAATGAAAATGACCAAACACCGTCAGAAGCACGCCTCCGACAGATCTGTAAATTCTGATTGGATCAGTGAAAAAATGTGTTGTGTCTTTTTAACACTACGTGAAATGAGTCCTGTTGAACCATTTAAAGTTACAGTACTTCATTTCTAAGTTCATAATAAAATAATTAATATTTTAACTTCACAGGTCAGTCACATCTTATTATATTGACTAACACTTTGATGGATTATCTTTATTAAAATAGAGTTATTTGATTAATTAAAAGAAAAGAGTTAATTCTTCTTTCTTCTGTCTTCATGCTGGAATGTAAACAGTTTAGAAACGACTGTATGACCTTCAGGCTGTTTCAGACACACTGACACTGTGTCAAAAGCAAACAGCTGTTAGGGTAGAAATGGCTCCTTCGTCATGTTACACTCATAAATGAGCTTTTGTTTTTGTAATTCAGCGTTCCTAGATTTTTAGCTTGGCTTCCTGCCCTTGGAAAATACTCTTCATCCTAATAAAAGGATTTTTTCATTTATTCAACAGCTCCTGCCTGAGTTGTCTGGATTTCTTCATTTTGTGTCCAAACCTCCTGCTCTCAACGCGACACATTTCTAATAAGACTTAGAAAACTTTTGATTTGACCACAGATAATTAATAATACCTTTCTCAGTGGCCTAGTGGTAGAGTGTCCGCCCTGAGACTGGGAGATCAGGGGTTCGATTCCTGGTCGGGTCATATCAAAGACTTTGAAAAAATGGGACCCAATGCCTCCCTGCTTGACACTCAGCACCACCAAATAGTTCCCGAGCGCGGCTGTGTCTGCAGCTCACCGCTCCCCCAGGGGATGGGTCAAATGCGGAGAACAAATTTCGCACACACACCTGTGTGTGTGACAACTAATGGGACTTTAACTTTAATGAAGATAGGGGGTGCTAAAAGCAAGCAAAAACGGACAAGGGTACCTTTAAAACTAGCTAATAAATGTGATTCTTTAGCTAGTTTGAAGACTACTAGGCAAGCAAAATTTTCTTACTCCATTGGCAGATTTAAAAAAACAACAAAAAAAAAAAACATTTGAATCACATATAAGAATATTTTCCTTATTTTAAGTAATGTAATTTCACAGACAACATTTATTTTTCATTTTAGACAAAAAATAAGAAAAAATGTCTGAAAGTGACTTTTTTTGTTTACTTACATAGAAATTCAGTTTTGCAGTGTAAAAAACGACCAAATGCTTTACTTTTATATCTGACAAAGAACAACAGCTCTGTGGTGTAAAATATGACTTTAAGGTTGAAAATAAATATTGGCTAAAATCATTTTGAATCTGCGTCGGTGCAGAATCAGCTACCAGTTACAAAACAAACGGTGATCTAATTGGAATAAGTTCCTGATATTGATTGAGCTGCGGTGCTTCTGAAATAGAGTCATTAAAGAAGATTAGTGGCTCCTAAATCCTGCTTGTTATTAGTGAGCAGATGAGGAATGACGAGAGGAGGCTCCACGTGCTACAAATCTGCAGAGAAAGGAGCTCATCAGCTGTTTTTGTTAAATAAAGCAAGCTAATGCTGCAAAACGCACATAAGATTACATTTGTTCATCCTCACTGTGTGTGTTTGGAGGGTCATCACGGTGAAAAATGTTTTCTGTAGATTTCCAGCAGCGACTGAGTGAAAACCATCCTAGTTTAGCACATTTTAGGTTTCCCTCCTGGAAAACAGCCTTCTCTCATACCTCGAATCCTTATTCTACCAAGATGTGTTGTTAAAGAGGCCAAGGCACTTCTTCTTGGCCTTGGAATGAAGATTTGTTGTCTAACTGCTGAATTATTTAAAGGCCGAGGATGCTGGAAAGGAGTGCTATGAAAAAGAAAACATATGAACAACTGAAGGACAAGAATTCAGGGAATTTTTGAGTTTCTCTTTAATTTTTTGCTGCAAATTTTGCTCTTGATGCTGAATATCCTCTTACGGATTCATTCGCTTTATTTTTAAATCTCCACAGTAAAGCATCAGACGCTCAAAGAAGTGCAATAGCTTTATTCTTTACCCATTTTTATTGTATTTACTGGTTGTGAAATGTGACTTTTGTCTGTCTGCTGAGGGAATAAACTCTAAAAAACGTGAATGTGCGCACTCTGCAGACTCCATACCTTCATGCACTAGTTTTGCATCTACGAGACCCTAAAGAGAGACATCTTTATTCTCCTCAGATTCCCTTCATCAAAAATGACAAAACCATGCTTTTGAAAGCAAAAGCAAATCCAGAAAGTTGCCCTTCATCTTGATTTGAGTGTGGATAAAAAGACCAGCACAAGGTCAGGACCTTCATGCACTAACGATGCCGTCAGCAAAGTGTTTTGGCCTTCTTGTCTGCAGCTGTAGGCTTTTTAATTGGGCGAGCATTCGCCACCAGCATCATTCAGGTTTCCCTCTGGCATGGTTGTTAATAATCTGAGTCAGGCAGGAAGGCAAATCCAATTCTGTGTGTTTTGCTGGAGCACCAGCTCCCAGTGGTGAGCAGCAGGGCTCAGCAACGCCGAGTTAACAGACAAATAAAAGGATGCTTAAAGGTAAACCAATGTGAAATGGGACCTTAGGTAATTATTTCGGATAATCAGATTTTATTATAGATAATCTATAAAAATGTGGCTTCACACAGATTGATGATTTATTTTTTTGTGGAGTCCTTTTCTTGTATCTGGAGTGCTTTTATTACAATGGTTGTGTTTTCTTCCTCCTCTTTCCAGTGCTCGGTGGCCAAGAGTCTCGTGGCGTTTTGAGGAAAATCAGTGACATGCTGGAGATGATTATGAAAAGGATGGATGCTCTGTCTAGGCTGGGCAACACAAGTGACACTCACAGACTGGATGAGCTCAGCTCGGCTCTCGACAGGTACGAATCAAACAAATAAAAAATCCCTGGGAGTGCAACCTCCAGCAAAATAACAAGAATTTCAGATTCCCTTTCATCACTGGCAACGAGTGAAGAGGCAAATGTGTAAAGCAACAATGTTTATTAATGCTGAAAGTTTTGTGACCATTTGTTACAAATCAGTAAATGCATTCTGTCCTCACGGGCTTCCGTAGAAAGAAACATGGCATCCAATATGGCGTCGCCCAGAGACTTAGACTGCCATGAATTTTACAACAGATTTTTATGGTTATATGTTATGAAACCGCTAATATTTTTCAACAACTGGGTTTCTTTTAATTCATTTACTACAAAATTCCAATGGATACTTCCAGAGATTAGTTTGAAACATGATCGGTCACTCTGAGGTTAGCATTCAGGCTGAACGTGAAAATATTCTTCTACCCCTGTTTCCTGCATTAGCTGCAGATAGAAAATAGACACGGGAACCCTAGGATTAGAAAATCCAGTGGCATTTGCATGTCATCTTGTGAAATTAGCATTCATGGACTTACTCCACTTACTGTTGTTGGTTTAGCATCCAGGAGAGAGCAGAGCGCATTTCAGCAAGTAGAGGCTAACCGTTAGCATTAGTAACTCCACCACACAGCAGAGCTCATTCAGGTTTGTGTTTGTGGAGATAAAACATCAATTTTGCATAGCGAACAGAGTCAGTGGTAGAGTCATGTAGCTGTTAGCCAATCAGAGGCAGGAACGGAAATACGACTCCAAATTCTGCCGTGTTTAGCTCACTTCTAGCTCCTGAAACAGGAGCACCAGAGATGGACTCACATGGCGCTTGTTTACACTAGAGACCACCACAGATGTGTTGAAAAAACTGAGTGAACTTGGTCTTCAAAGCCATAGCTTACAGCGAGTTTTAGAAGATTTAAATGAGACAAATAAAGTCTCTGGTTCTACTTTGTGAAACTAACTTTTCTCAGAAATGATGCAAACAAAGAGGATAAAAGTAAAACTCACAAACTAATGTGAATCTAATCACAAACTAAGATTTTATTGAAGAGTTCTTTTATGTTGTTGCACTGCTCTGAAGTTTTATTTTCTTAGGAGAAAAAAACAGATCAGGATGATTTAAACTCCGATGGTTTACTTTTAAACCGTTTCTGTGCAGAGAAGTTGCTGTTTTGCTTTCTGACAAAGAAAATGCACGAAGGGGATTTTTGTTGCTTTAAAGAAGTGAGACGGGATCTGCAGGTGTCTCACTGGACAAGCTGCAGCTCAGAGTTGTGTGTGCTCTGTGGTATCCATGGTAACAACCTTCCGTCCTGCCCACACCTGCTTTAGGTTTACAGAGAGAAGTCTTGCTTCCTCCGTAACACAATCCTGTTTTCCTGCTCTTCACCATCTACTTTTTAAATATTATTTTCTCATGAACATTTTGATTTTCCACCTGCATTGACTTTTCCTCTGCAGAATGGCTCGTAGATACGCTCAGCCACTCGGATCCCATAGTTTAATTGGCCTCTCTGGGACTAAACTGGAAGCGTTAGTGACGAAGGCCATGTATTTATGTTGGTGGTGAAAAAAAATCTCACGCTCCCTGGCTCGACGTTGGTGTTGACCCATTAACTCAGAGGTAGAAATGTGGAAGAAACACTTATAAAGTCGATGGTCAGTGTGCATGAGCACTTGAATGCGTGTGTGCGGGATGAGAGTCCTCCGAAGTGCTGATTCATACGGGTTGTTACGTCCCCGACAGGTGTTGTTAAAATGTGAAGGATGGGGAGAACATAAGAACTGGACAGTGGATATTAAAAATGGGGTTTTATTGAAACAAAAAGGTTCTAAAAACGTGCAAACAGATGACGACAGGCATTATAAAGGTAATACAGAACACAAACTGAACTCTCTAAAAGGTTAACATCACGACAAATTATCAACTGTAACAACACCTGGTTAAAACTTTGTTGAAAGCTGTCACGCCATGTCCTGTCTTCTCTTAGGTTTTCTTCAGTGTCTCCGTTAATTGCTCCCACCTGCCTCTTGTTTCCCAATCACCATAGCTCCCTCTCCTCGTGTATTTAAACCCCTTCTGTTCTGTGTTCCATGTCGTGTCATTGTTTCAGTGTCCAGCGTGCTTCATTAAAGAAACTAATGGTAAAAGTTCCTACCTGTTTTCCTTCTTCCTCCCCGCGTTTGGATCCTTATCTGATCACCGCCTCGCGGCCCGGCACGCTCCTGACAGAATGACACGACCTCCTGAAGGGTCCAGCGGGGAGATCCTCCCATGGAAGTATCTATTCCAGTTTCTCTCCGCCGACTATCGACCGGCTTCTCCTTCCCCAGCTCCAGCTCCGCCTCGCCGCAGACGGCGTCCCCGAACTTCTGCCTCGGCGTTCCTCGCCGCCCTTCCGGAACCGGACGGGAGGTCGGACGGAGAGACGCTCCGGGATCGCTCCAGCTTCGAGGGCACGAGGCTGGCTTTCTGCTCCCCCGGGGTCGGTCCACGGCGTGGGGAGGGACGCCGGAATCCACCGCAGCCCTGCGCTTCAGGACGGAGCTGCGAGCCCGTCGCTGAGCTCCAGCTGGACCACCTGCTCGCTGAGCTCCAGCTGGACGAACTGTTCGCGGCTCCGGCTGGACGCAGCTGCTTGGACCCGTCCCCGGTTGGACCAGCTGTCCCGCCTCCGGTCCACTCGGCTCCTCTGTCATCTATGGGAGGTGGAGCCACACCCACAATCCAGCCAACTGAACTGGCCAGTCACCGGGCTGAGCTGGTCCGGCTTCAACAGAGCGCCCATTCTAATCAGCTTCGACTGGACGCTCTGCGCTCCCTGTCTTCAGCACTAGCACTGCTCGTTCACTCAAGGCCTGTTCCAGGAGGGGTCCAAAAGCAGACGGTTCAGGCCCGGAAGCAGACGGTGCAGGCCCAGAAGCAGGCGGTGCGGGCCCAGAAGCAGACGATTCCGGCCCAGAAGCAGACGATGTGGGCCCAGAAGCAGACGGTACCAGCCCAGAAGCAGACGGGTCCGGTGCAGGCCCAGAAGCAGACGTTACCAGCCCAGAAGTCGGCGGTTCGGAGACCGGCGGTCCAGAAGCCGGAGAACCAGAAGCCGATGGAGGGCGACGCCCCCGGGCCAGAAGCCGACGCCCCCGGACCACGGGTCGACGCCTCCCAAGTCGGCTCGTCTGATGTCGCCGCCTCCCAAGTCGGTTCGCCTGACAACGTCGCCTCCCAAGTCTGCTCGCCTGACGACGCCTCCTCTGAAGTCGGCTCCCAAGTCGACGTGGCCTCCTCTGAAGTCGGCACCCAAGTCGGCGTGGCCTCCTCTGAAGTCGGCTCCCAAGTCGGCGTGGCCTCCTCTGAAGTTGGCGTGGCCTCCTCTGAAGTCGGCTCCCAAGTCGACGTGGCCTCCTCTGAAGTCGGCTCCCAAGTCGACGTGGCCTCCTCTGAAGTCGGCTCCCAAGTCGACGTGGCCTCCTCTGAAGCCGGCTCCCAAGTCGACGTGGCCTCCTCTGAAGCCGGCTCCCAAGTCGACGCGGCCTCCTCTGAAGCCGGTTCGTCGGAAGTCGGCTTGTCTGTCGCCTCGTCTGATGACGTCGCCGCCCCTGAAGTCGGCTCGTCTGATGACGTCGCCGCCCCTGAAGTCTGCTCGTCTGATGACGTCGCCGCCCCTGAAGTCTGCTCGTCTGATGACGTCGCCGCCCCTGAAGTCGGCTCGCCTGATGACGTCGCCGCCCCTGAAGTCGGCTCGTCCGATGACGTCGCCGCCCCTGAAGTCGGCTCGTCCGATGACGTCGCCTCCTCTGAAGTCGGCTCGTCCGATGACCTCGCCTCTGGTCTGACGTCTCCTCCGTCTCCGGTTCCAATGGTGATTCTGAAGGTCACTCCGGTCCAGCCTGCAGGGACTTTGTCACCGGTCCAGCCTGTGTCATTGTTTCAGTGTCCAGCGTGCTTCATTAAAGAAACTAATGGTAAAAGTTCCTACCTGTTTTCCTTCTTCCTCCCCACGTTTGGATCCTTATCTGATCACCGCCTCACGGCCCGGCACGCTCGTGACAAAAGCTTAACTGAACAGAAGGCGTTTTAACATCCAGAAGTTGATAAAAGTTCCAAAACAATCTATTGACCTAAAACACCTGGCAAAAACTTAATTTAAAAGCTTTACCGAACTGAAGTTGTTTAAAACTGAAGTCAATAAACTTGCCACAAACAAAGTTAACCTTTAAAACCAAACTGCAAAAAGATCCCACCGGATCATCCAAAAACTTATCACCAAGAGTTAAAAACTACCAAAGTTTAAAACTCCTCCAAACGAAAGGGGTTGAAAACAAACAAAACCTGGAGGACAGCAGAACCCCTGCAATGCTGCCTCTCAGGCCTAGTCCACACGTAACCGGGGTTTTTTAAAAACGAATATCCGCCCCGCCAAAAACTTGCATCCACATCACCGCGTTTGAAAAACAAACTCTGTCCACACGTACCCGGATAAATACGTTGTTAAGGACATGCCAGACCTGTAGGCGGCAGGACTTCCCCGTTCTTAACCTCGTCCTTCGTCTGTGGTCTTCCGCAAGGAGCAGTAATTCCGCTTGCAAAAACAAACAAGCAGAAAGCGCTTGGACAATTGATGGATCGGGTAGTGACAGAGCGCAGCTCTGAGGGCTTCCATGATGCCGGCTAGTGTAAACACAGGTCGCACACGTGATGTCAGCATTTTTTTGTCGCGGAAAGTGACGTTGCGGACCTTAAAACTCCGGTTTTGTCCGTCCACACGCAGACACCCAAAACGGAGAAAACGCAGATCTTCACTTTGGCCGGAGTTTTTAAAGATCCGTGCCTATGGTGCCTGTCTCCAGCGGTCAACGGGCAATCAGGCGGAGTACACCCTGGACAGGTTTCCAGTCCATCGCAGGGCAACACAGAGACACACAGGACAAACAATCACACACACACACACACACACACACACACACACACACACACACACACACACACACACACACACACACACACACAC